ATTATTAATAGAAATGATACAAATTGACTTATATCTATGGGAATTATGACTTACCAGCTAGTGTACCTGTATTCGAGACTCGAACCCAGTAACGCTTACTTCGAACTCCATCGCACTATCCACTTAGCAACCGAGCCCTGATAGCCACTTGCTTGTGCAGTAGGGTGAATCCTAAATTCATTTGGTATTTTCTATTTGTATCTTTCGATTGAAGTTTAGGACTGCAATTGATCAGTCTCTTATTGACATATGTGCATTCTGTGTGGATTGTTTCGATACTGCCTTTGGTCACAAACACTATAAACAAAAATGGGTGGTGGATAGCAGTGGGTTCGAGCTTGAAGTAAACGGTACTGAGTTCAGATCCTGGAGTTATACGAATTATTTATAAGGCAATCAAACACTAACAGTTTAACAAGATATGACAATAAGAAATGAATAATTTTCAATTCAAGGTTAGCAGCACTACACTGTATTATGGCATAACCATAACTGAAATAATTATTTACCACAATTTTTAATGGATACTATTGTTATAACGGTTGTTTTTACACGTATGGGACTTTAATTTACCTTAGACGAATATCTACACTAGATCCCCTTCCAGTGTCTATTCTGCAGGACGTCAACACAACTCAGATTAAGAACACGTGATTAGCCTCACTAGAACGTAAACATACTTTCACACCAAAACCCGGCACAATCCAACAACAATTAACAATCAATGATAATAATTATAAGGAAAGGGGAATATATAACTTATCTGACACCTGTCAAACTGCCTACATGTATGACTAAGCAGACAACCAATCCTAATCATTCTCGCTCACATATCAACTATTTTATGTGATCAAATCCATTTTCAAATTATGTACAGTGATCTATGTTACCGACTGCTTATTATGTTCTTTATCATGTCGATAATTCATTGCAGTGAGTAATAATTTCGAGATAATTTCAAGTTCCGAAACACCAAGTTTTGATTGGTCTGTTATAAAGTTGCTAACATAGAAATTACCTTCAAATATATTTCATACTGTATACATACTGTTTCAGTTCCACCATTGGATGTAACCGTTAATGCATACATATTCTATAATCTAGTTTTCAAAATACATATGATTACCAATTATTAATATTTTGAGTTTTGTCATAATTTGAAATCAGAAGCTGAGCCAGTAAAAACTAGACAACTGTTTTGTCCTAATTCAGGGTTTATGACTGCGTATAAGATATAGGAATAAAAAATCTTTAGGGGTCACTATAAGCGTTATAACATTTGTAAATAAGTATTGTTGAAAAATCTCGAATGTTTAGGAAGTAACTGTCTAGGGCTCCTTGGTTTGTAGTCAAAAGCATTATAAGCAAATATGGATGGTGGCTAGCACTATTTGAAGCGAACTGTTCTGGGTTCGAGTCTCCAAGTGAACATCAACTCTGGGATGGAGGTACATCCAGCTGACGAGTCCTAAATAGGACGAAACGCGTGTCCTGGATTCCACTGCTAGCCATCATCTATCTTTGCTTATAATGCTTATGACTTAAAGCAATATCGAGACAATCCTCACAGGATGCACATATGCCAATAAAAAACTGGTCAGTTGAAGACCTAACCATCAATGGGAAAATTCAAGCAAACAATACCAAATGGATTTATTTTAACTGGTGTTAAGGTTGTATCATAGAGATAATTGCATTTTATTACTCTGATTTCGTGCCGCAAACAAAAGTACCGGCCAGATAGTATTCGTAACGACTATTAAAAGTCTTTAATTGTTTCGTGTATTGAAGAAAACCTCTGGTTGTCAAATGTTCTGAAATTCGTATGATCTACGCCCCTCTATTACTATCTCTGTGATATTCCGATGTGGCTGTTAAATTTTCACTGCAGATGGCCAATGAAACAGATTTCGATAAATAAACAAGTGTCTCCGTAACAGAATATTTCTATTAATGTATCTTAGGTGAAGAACTCCAAACAACATATAATCTCTTAATTTATGTCAACAATAAAAGTCTAACTGTCTCCTGTCATTTATTAAAAAATGACATTAACATTTTCACTTATCACATATCTATAGTCTTCACGTTTCATATATTGTTTAATAAATTCCAGCTCTTGAGTATCTATGAAATTAAATCATGTGCTCTGATTTTCAATAAAAAATAACAATTTTGTCAATGGAGAACCATCCAGAAATGATCTGAATTTCCTAGCTTACGAGAAATATACTGATTTCGACTTTGTGGCCCACATACAATCACATTGTTCAGACATATTGGTTTCTAAACAAAAATCTCATTTGGCTCTTAAGAATATTTCCATATCACTTTTTCATTCTTCTGTCTTTTGTAACAAACCCCGCCTGGAGCCCCTCTGGGGCTACTGCCGGTCCCAAGCTCGGATAAAAGAGGAGGGGTGTGCATCAGGTTGGTGACTCCATCCCGTAGAAAACCAATTCGCTAAAAAAACGCTAACCAGAAAAAATAATTTAAACTCTGCCCTGGGAGTTAGGAGGTCTTCATTTAGAAGAGTTAAGACGCCTCATGGTGAAAGCCAAATCCCTTCGGAAGTCACGAGGCTGATGCTCGAACAATGAGGGAGACCGGGAGAGTCATCCAAATTACTGTAGAAATGAAAAGATACAACCTGAAGGTGCTTGGAATCAGTGAAACACATTGGACGCACGTTGGACAAAAAAGACTAGCTCCAGCCGAGCTGCTGCTATACTTCGACCATGAAGAAGAAAATGCTCCACATACACAAGAATTTGCACTGATGCTTTCCAAACAAACAGAAAAATCACTCATAGGATAGTAATCTCATAGACCCAGGATCATCAAAGCCTCCTTCAAAACAAAGAAAAAGGGCATTACAACGGACGTCATCCAATGCTGCGCGCCTGCCAACGACTACAATGAAGACGTTAAAGATCAATTCTACGATAAGCTGCAGTCAATCGCTGAGAAATGCCTAACCAAGGACCTGACCATTCTGATGGGAGATTTGAATGGACAACACCGGATATGAAGACATCATGAGAGGACACGGACTGGGAGAAAGAGATGAGAATGGTGTGAGATTCGCAAACCTATCTGCCTTCAATAAACTGATCATAGGCGGCACTATATTTCCACATAAACACATACACAAAGCCACATGGACTTTACCGGATCACACTACATAGAACCAAATTGATCATATCTGCACCAACAAAAAGTTCAGGAGGATGATGGAGGATGTGAGAACCAAGAGGGGGGTTGATATAGTATCTGATCATCACTTGCTGGTCGCCAATATGAAATTAAAACTCAAGAAGCACTGGACAACGGGGTGGACATCACAAGAGTTTAATACGGCTTTTCTGCGGGATACTGACAAACTCAACAAATTCAAAATAGGCCTCAGCAATGAGTTCCAGGTCTTTCATTATCTACTCAATGAAGGAGGAACTACTATGGAGAACAAATGGAAGGGGAAGATCTAGCAATGACGGTGGAAAAGGCTGTAAGAGAAGGAAACATAAGACAATTGCATGACACAACAAAGAAACTCCGTGGAAATTATCGTAAACCAGAACGACTACTGAAAAGCAAGGAAGGCAAAGTAATCATCAACATTGAAGAACAGCGAAACATGTGGGTAGAGCACTTAAAGAATCTCTTGAATCGACCAACCCCATTGAACCCACCCAACATCGAAGCAGCACCCACGAACCTCCCAATCGATGTTGGCCCACCAACAGTTGAAGAGATCAGCATAGCCATCAGACGAATCAAGAGTGGCAAAGCAGCAGGACCAGACAACATTTCAGCAGAGGCACTGAAAGCAGGTGTAGCAGTAATTGCAAAGATACTCCACATTCTCTTCAGCAAGATTTGGGATGAAGAACAAGTACCAACAAACTGGAAAGAAGGACTTCTGATCAAAATACCGAAGAAAGGAGATCTCAGCAATTGTGATAACTACAGGGGCATCACTCTTCTTTCAACGCCGGGAAAAGTCTTCAACAGGGTATTGTTAAACAGATTGAAAGACTCCGTAGATGCCCAACTTCGAGACCAACAGGCTGGATTCCGTAGGGATCGATCGTGTGCAGATCAAATCGCAACACTACGAATCATTTTGGAACAATCAACTGAATGAAATGCATCACTATACATCAACTTCATTGATACGAAGAAGCAAATATTTATAATTATGTCTCTACACTTCATGTGTGAGATAAGTTGTTACTTTGGCATATAGAGCTGAACGGATAAAAATTTATAAATATTCATCAAACAATTGATTAGAGTTGACTAAGTGTATAAAAATAAAACTATTGATTGTTTCATATTCTACAAAATTTTAGTGTTCGGAAGTGCTTTGGGAAAAAATATGCCTATATAACTTAGTTCACAAGAACAGGTAGTGTTAGATGCACATTGTGTTGATCGCATAGCCGTACCAGAAGTAACCGTCAAAATGATCTACATAGTTAGAAAATCTGGTTTCAAAAATGACAAACTGGAAAACTAAATGCAACAGAAGCGTCAATAATTCGTTTCATGGCAAAATACATTTTTAAGAATTTGGTATGCTAGAAGTTAAACTATCCATAATTTCCTAAGGTCTAAAATTCTACCTAAATACACATAAATATTGTGTATAAATGATCCTTCTGATTCTCAAAAGGTTGTTCACACGAGTCGAAATTTCTCCAGTACTCATTTAAAATCAAACACCTCGTCAATATACTCTTTACATTATAAGAAATTTTCAGATTTCTTAAGTATAAATCAATGATTACAGTGTGAATCTGCCTAAGCGTTCCTGTAAATATCCATGTTTTTCTGATTTGTGTTTTAGCTACTTAATTAATTACAGTAGTATATACCTAAAATGTCCCCTTAGCCAATCATTTTACAGTAGTTATTGACCAATCATCTATCTGTATTTCATAATATATTCCTTAACCTGGCTTGTAACGATCAGTTGTTACCTTTTCTCTTTGGGAATGTCAGCTACTGCTAGTATCACTGCACCGGTTCAATTATGTCGAAGGTTGTTTGGTGAACCTGTATCATGTATACGTATTCAGCAAACTTTGGAGACAATTATACGTAAAGATTTAGACCGTTTCCAAAATAAATGGAACTTTCAACCACCCAATATTGTATCAGAGAACAAAATTCGGAAACCACTTTCTGTACATCAATTACATATTGGAAATTTACGGAAGAATTCTACAAATGAATTCATTTTAGAACCTGTCCAATCACCTCCAAGTTTCTATATAAAATCTCCGCGTAAATTAAAAGCATTTCGACGTCTTCCAGTGTCAGTAGCGCAAAAAACACGCATGGAACTCTATAAAAAGTCTACAAATAGTGAACTCAGAAATTTCACTTATTCGTTTAATTCATCATATAACCTATCTAATACTGATACTTTACTAAATGATAATCAGAAATCTGAAATGAACTTTCCTTCAACGACAGAGTCAACTATCTCAATAACTCTGAATCAATCATCGCCAACATCATCATCAACACCATACAAATTCGGCAACATATCACAAGTTACTGAAAAGTTATCAGAAATAACGACAACGTTACCTGTGAATCCAATTATTATCCGTTCAGATAATAGTAGTAATAATACAATGTTACCATCAAGTTCGAATCCCTGTTCTCAACATTCAGTTAAACTGATAAGACCTGATCGATTAAGTTTAAAGAAATCTGGGCCTAAAGTAACAGGTAATTCAATAATTCTTCTAGAATTGTATTATACTTATCTATTTTTTTTCCGTTAATCACCCTAAAATAATATCGGAAATCAATGTGCTTTGTTGGTCTAGTCACTTTCCTCCTACCTTTCTTTTTCTAATTGGCTAACTAGTAAAATTTATTTTTGAAAAATAGCTGATATTAACACTAGTGTTCCTGTATATTTAGTAAATTGTTGTAAAAAATTTTAGTTTATGAACACAGAATTATAAGATCATTAAAACTAATTTATAGTTCTGTATTATTCATGTCTTGGTAGTACGGGATGGAGATTTTATCCTAGTACGAAACTCCTCCACAGTGTTCGTCCACGAGTCCGCATGCAGAAATCGAATCCAGAAATTACTGTCTCGCACGCGAAATCCATATTAAGATGAAACGGCCGTCCAGTGCTTCCAAATTTTCAATGATGATTCAACTTAGATTGATTCATGATCTCAATGAAATCCAACAATTTTTACAACCCCTTACTCACAATTATTTTTAAATTATATTTAATAATTTTATTCAAAGTAGACGTTATAATTGTTATGAATTATTTACTAGAATGGTAATTGTATAAGATTTAATAACGATAATTTTGTACAGTTACTTAACGAGATTAATAATGTCAGTGTATATTATGATATGACTGTGAATACCACAAAATGCTACTTATTCAAATATAAGTACATTAGTCAAATAGAATATGTAAGAAAAAATAATGTAAGCGTCATTCAAAAGTTATCACAATTTCTAACACTTATAAATATCCCTTAAATTTGTCTATAATTCATATAAATAGTTTACTGACATTTTCAGAATAACAAAAAAATGTATAATCAAACACTTTTCTTTGCAAATTTACATTATCAGAAGGGGTTTGTGGAGATTTTAGAAATTTCACTAGTTGAAATCATGAGTCAAGTGAAGCTAGACCACCATGGAAAACCTGAAAGCACCGGACGGCCGTTTCGTCTCAGTATGGGACTCCTCAGCAGTGCACATCCACGATCCCGCCCCCCGCAAGATTGAAACCCAGGACCTACCAGTCTCGCGCCAGGCGCTTAACCAACTAGACTACTGCTGATGAGTCCCATACTAGAACGAAACGGCCGTCCAATGCTTCCAGGTTTTCCATGATGGTCTAGCTTCAATTGACTCATGATTTCAATCTGTGAAATTCACATTAGTTGAGTTTAAAATAACATGGAAACAAAACAGATAGATCTGTATTAACTATTCACAAAATGATGTAATCAGTTAAAAATTAAATGAATTCGCCTTGTTTTACCAAGTTCTTTTAACTAATGTGGTTAAAATTAATTGATTCATATTATTTAATAATAATCCAGTATGTAATATTTTATAATACCAGAAAAACTGAAGACCTTTAATTCAATCTATCATTGTAAATTTAATAATGCGATATATTTATTATTTACTTAAAATTCAAAAAAGATCAAATCACGGGATCATTTGATCATTTTAAACAAAACGTAAGGAACAATAGGACTAAGAGAATAAAAATAAATTCATACAATTACAAGAAATCATAACAGTTTAGTGTAAATATAGTTAGAGAATCTAAATGACATAGCTCAGGTGTATTCAGTTTTTGTTTTTCTTCAAATTCTGAGATTCTAAATATCTCTTTACTTTTTTTCGTGTATTCATTTTGTGTGGAATTGTATCTTCTATACTTAATCTTGTTCCTTACCCATTATGCTGTTACTGTTTCTAGTATTATAGGATTCAGTCTGACAATTTCATATATATGTGTTAATGGGATTATGGAAATTTGAATCAATCAACATACGTACCAGGTTCTATGTTGTGATTGATCAACTAACTGAAATATGTTGTGTTTTTTTTAGAAAAAAAGCTTGAAACAGTCTAGTAGTAAAAATTCACAATCAGACAGAAAATTCTGTATTATTTTCATTATGTATACCTTGAACTCTGGACAAATATTAAATTTCACCAGTTGAAATCATGAGTCAATTGAAGCTAGACCATCATGGAAAAACTGGAAGCACTGAATGGCCGTTTCGTTCTCGTATGGGACGTCTCCACATCCACGATCCCCCCCCGCGAGATTCGAACCCAGGACCTATCAGTCTCGCGCGCGAGCGCTTAACCATTAGATCACTAAGCCGGCATCCAATAGTGTTAATGTCTAACTTCAATATACTAGGACGAAACGGCCGTCCAATGCTTCCAGGTTTTCCATGATGGTCTAGCTTCAATTGACTCATGATTTCAACTAGTGAAATTTCTAAAATCTCCACAAAAATCCCTTCTCAAAATACTGAATTGTATAGACTATTTTTCTGGTTTACTTATACCTATACTCTTATCTTATATAACACCTAAACAATGAAACTGAACGCTTCAGTAATGTACTCTTTGTTTAGTTTTTGTATGGATTGAATATTAACAATTTTTCCAACAGTTATATTCAAAATAAATTCTCGCATAAAATTTAAGATTTAACCTTCTGACATCATGTTATTAATAGTAGTCAATTTAAAAATCAGTTTAATTTAAAAAGATAAATAAAGTTTAGATTTTATACAACTACAGTTAAATAGGATACAAATAAGCAAGAAGAAAATACCGAATGACATTACACACATTGTAGTTAACATTTTAATTCAGCTTGTTGGTCATATTCATCACAGGTCGATCTCAGTTCAAATGCTACTGAAAATCGATGAGCAGCGGACAATTATTTTTTTATAATATCAGATTAGTGGGGATGCAGATGAGCACTGCTAAGGAACCCGATATTGTTTTAAACATTTGATAATGATCGAATAGTTTCTTCTTTAATGACTTGATAATGACATAGGAATAATATTTTCTTTTTTCCACGCTTATTTTACAGATTATTTTGCTGTTAAGCGACGACGACAATCTATGAAGTAATTCATAGTTTTCAGAAAGAAACAAAAACAATAAAGGTAAATTTTATTTTATTTTACTCTTTCCTTTAAATGTTAAGTACAGGTTCAATTATAAACCTATTATTAATTGTTAGTTTCATGATGAAATTGTACACTTGACAGGTCATTTTTGAACTCCAAACTGTTTATTTTTTTAAAAGGGTTGAAAAACCCAACCAGTACTTGACACTTATTTCATTTTAGTTTGATATTCTGTGTACCTACTACCTGGCACTGAATTCAGTTTATATTCTTCAGTGGTAAGAATCGATGGTCAAGAAACCAATGGTGATTATCCGATGTCGTTCAGGAAATTCTGACAGAAAATGTTGACATCATTTATTGAGTTGTAGTTCCAGTAATGCATATCCAACACAATAAGCAAAACTGAAAACTTGAACGATTTAATCTTGGTTCTTGAAATTTCGAAAAATCTCTTTCATTATCAGTCTGAGATGGAAGAAGTAGATAGGACAAATTAATATCACAGTTATCTTTAACCACACATTAAACCCTAAATTAGACCAATTCTTAGACTATGGAAATAGGCTAAGGCGTCCATTTTCATTGTATAGGTCAAAAGACCTCTCTGTTGTAGTCCCTAACCCATGAACTCGATCAAACATATCAACTTGCTTCTTGAATCTTATATTCCAAATTCAGTCTCACATACATTGTGTGTCATATTCTGAATGCACCTTTATCCAAGATCCAGAATCTTACAAACAAACTACCCAGGAAATCCAAAAGCCCTTGGTAGTGGTTACATTACACCTTCCTATGGTTCAGCCACTTAGTGCATTCTAATCATCCTCTGATAGGTCTCCGCATTCTGATGCCATTTGTAAACAACAGGATAGATAACTTTGCTAATAAATATTAACGTTTATATAGAGTATGGAACAACAATACAGAACTTCCTCATTTCATTGTAAACTCAATTACTTTATACGCCAGTACGATTTAAAATTAAACTGCCCATATTTCTAAATTCGGCCTATTTTATGATACAGTCTAACAATAATCATCCAGCGTGATGCGATTGAAATGCACTAGTCACTATTTCTCACAAAAAATACATAATTATTGTGAAGAAATAAATGTTCATAGAATTAGTTATATACTTGAAGTCCGCTTGAATGTTTGTAAAATGGATACTTCCTTATTGTTATGATACATTCAGGAGATTTTTTGCTAGCTTTACAAGTTAGATTATCATCAAGGTCATAACCTGGAAACACTTCATCCGTTATTTCTTTATTTTGCCCCCAAATACCCTCCATACCATTAGCTAATAGAAGAAACATATTTTTTTATGACTCATTCATCTTAACAATAAAGACAGATGCATAGTTAGATTTCCTTTGTGTATATATTCGTGATTAAACTTGCCCCCCTGCCAATTTAAAATAGTTGATTGGCAGAAATAGAGGATCGTGCCTGTTTTTGTATATTTCAGTCCTTATTAATTAAAGGACTATGTTTAATAGGAATTAACCTTCCTCATTTCTCTTGTATATGTTCATTCCATATGGTGGTAATTTTCTTTTTCACATATTTATCCATCTGGTTTTTATGTTTTCCTAATTAAATTGACTGTTTATTCTCCCTCTTATTATTTGTATTGTGCATATATGTGTTTCTGTGTACCAAAACATATTCGCATAGATTACAGACAAATGATTTCTTAAAAGTATAGAACTTCTCTGCACAAACACACACACACAATATCCCTTTGTATTCAAATATGGTTTATATTATATTATTTGCTTGCACGTGTTCTTAACTGACATGTGGGATAAAAACAGAACAGGATGTGTTCAATACACATAACACTAGGAGAGCATATTTTTCTTCAAATAACCCTTTATATTGATTGAGAATACTTGAGAAATATAATAGCAATAATAATCAAGTGGAAATACATATACTTATTTTTAAGGCAAACATTTCAGAAACGGAAAAAATAAAAAAAATGAAACGACACATTGAAACTTAACGGTCTAATTTCGTATGTGTCTTCAATATGTTGTTTAAGGCTTACAAGTTAGACTCAGATACTGTCTACAGTATATAAATGAAGGATACAAACAGAATAGAATTAGCTTTGTTGATTGTTTCCTGTTTATAAGAAAAAAAACAGTCGAACTTAGAGTTTAAAAACAATGAACTTACGAGCAATTAGTCGGGTTTCAGGTGAGATTGTTTAGGGAATTCTCATATAAGGTGCCAATTACGAGTGGCGTCCCTATTGGATACCTACCATCATCAATACTAGTCTGATCTATCATAAACATGTTCATTTGCATCTGACTTGTTTAATTAAATCGGAACTGTCGACAAAGTTCGTCTAAATGCCTTGCACGAAAATATCGGAAATCTAAAGCTTTAAAAGTTATATGTACTGATTTCTGATTTAATAATAAACAATAAGTCATTGTAGGCATAGTAAATATCTAGTTTCCAGGTGTTATTGGAACTTTATCCTCACACACAGTTGAAACATCAGTTAAGTAGTACTCATGTTAGATACAACGATTTCCGAACACTGAATAAGTCAGTTGATAAGAATATAAGTTTATATATATATATATATATATATATATATATACTATGGTTAACTTCACGGTCCATAGTCAATAATACTCATTAAAAAAGTTAGTAGGCATCTTATTCGTTTAGACATGAAAATATGATGATTAAAAATCATATATAATAACATCATAGATTTGTGAAATAATGAAAAGATGTTCCAAACTTGAACAGAACAAAATATCCAGCTGATGTCGATTAGTTCATGATGTAAACTATCCTGTAACTACAATTCTTCCTACAGATCACATCTATGTCATTTAAAAACTTATCTTCTGAGTTGTAGAGAATGAATGATCAATTAAACAACTGTTGTTAATTAATAGTAAGAAACATGATAATAATACTATTGGTAATGGAAACTATACACATTTACTCAATATAAATATATACCAGTAACATCGATAATCAATATCTGCTAGTTATATGCTTGTTAACTTGTAAACATGTTATTAGTAAACATTCTCTTATTTTTACCAATCTAAATAATAATATTTTAGTTGCTATGCTGAAATTTTTGTTCGTTTATTAATTGAATTTTTATACGAGTAACTAAGATGAATCATCACGGCATATATATATATATATATAGGTTGTAGGTTAGTCTTATTTTTGTCACGGTCAAGGTTACAGAGTATTCTCTATACAACTTGCCTTTATCCGTATTTATTCAACCATTCTTAGTATTTTCAATAAAAGTAGTTTCTTTGTCTGCTATAAATTTATATTTCATTCAAGTTAATAGTTATTTAAATCAAGAAAATATATGTATATATATTTACTTAGCTTATATATATATATGTATCATTAGCCTATTTATCTAACAATATTTAAGTTTGTTTTGACACCTGATGGTCTTGAGTTCGTTCTTTGTGGTGAGTCATAAATGTACGCTATTAAGAAGTATTATATTAGGGTGAAATAGTTGTTGAATGTTCCATCGTTTACAATGGTATTAGCTTAGCTGAGATCAATCTATTGTTATGACTATCACTTAGAAATTATTATGTTGTTAAACTTTTATACAGTTTCTCTTATTGACTAAAACAAGAACAATGAACGTAGATGAATTATGTGAATCTCTTTTATTTCTTGGTTTCCCATCATTTGTTTACAACCTAAACATAATAGTGTCAATCATTCGTTTTTTTTTCACTAGGATAATCAGATATTCTATCTCTTGTAGTTCTTCTATACTTATTGGACCTTTTATAAATTTTCATTGATGAGATCATTTTCAATATCATGATATGAAGTGATGATCCTAATAAGTGGTATGATGATTGACACAAAATCAAAGATCCTCTCATATATCATATGAGGAGGAGATCATGTAGTTCATATGTTGTTGATGAATCCTTGAACTAAAACAAAACACTTGTCTAATGTCTCTTGAATGTTTACCCAAATAACCTGACTATTATACCATTAAAACAAAATACATAAAACTATCTTGTTGGTCAATGCTATATTTTTATTTTCTCTAATAAATGAATGACTATGAATAGTAGTATTATTATGCATTAATTTTTCTCCTGTTTTCTTTTTCAACTTTCTTTCAGAAGATCAATTCGTTGAATAATGAGAATGCATTTGAAAAATTGGATAATAACTTTTTTTTCAATGATTTAATGGAACAATCATTAAATAATTTTTAAAAAAAAGCACACAAAAAAAACTACATTGTTTAACACAACGCAGATTTATTTATTTCTATACCCCATTTCCTCACTTATTCCCCTTAAATATACTCTGTGAATTAAGTCTCCCTTCCCCTCCTCTTTGTTCTCAATTATTCATCGTTTTTTTTTCTTATTCTAACTCTATTTTAAGTTATGTTAAACAATACAGATTTTATTATGTACCATTATTATAATTATTATTGCCAATAATATTATTAAAATTATGTTTATAAATTGGTTGTTTCTTCTTTCTTTTTTTTGTTAATCAATTACAGACTGGTTTATAGAAAATATATACTAGATTACACCAATCGATCATTGCCGGTCAACTAATGACTAATTGTCTGCTGTTATCTAGAACTAATCAAACTTTATCGATCAAATTAACTATATGTTCGTTAACTCAATCGATATCATGTAGTTAATTTTGTTTCATTTCAGCTATTGGCATTTTATTCGTAGAAACATCTGAATAGGTAAACTATAATCTAACTATAGTAATTGAATAGGTTATCAATTAGTTGATAATTACAATTGTGGAATTAATTCTGTAGTGTGGAAACGAAGGAGCAATCAAGTGTGAGACAATTGATTGACAATTCACAAATGAAGTATTTACTGTATGGTTTTCAGATTTTACTAATAGATTATGTAATTTTGTATTCAAATACATTTGGTTGTCCTCACTTGTGTTCACGTTCACGACAATTCTACCATAAAGTTGAGTCATAGTACTATTAAGAATTACCTAATAATTGTGAAGCCACTTTTCAGATGACAATTCGAGTTTGCAAAAATATCAACAGTATTTCTCCAAAGGTATAATGAATATGATAAAAATGTATATGTTAGTCTTAAAAAGATTATTTTCAGTTGCCAATATCATTATAAAAGAAATAGAATCTCATTCATCTAAGTACAGATAGGATTCTTGTTCCATCCTTTTCATACTTATAAATCGTTTTATGGAAAATTCTTTATTGACAAATCTTAACCTCACAGTATATTTAGATCAATCGCACAGAAACTAATTTAGATCCTGTTTCTGACGATACCATACATAATACTGAAGAAATCAATTATTGATAATAGAATAAACAACTTAAGAATTAACATTCAACGAGTGAGATCATCGAAGTGTAGTACCATGGTCGCATATTTTTCTCGATTACCACTGATACTATTATTACCTCTACTATGACCAGATTTAGCCTGACAATTTCATATCCGTGTTAATGAGGTGTAGCAACTTGAACCAATGTACATACGTACCAGGTTCGACGTTGTGACTAACTGGCAACTAACTTTAACAGATTTGATATCAGTGTGAAATTATTGATATGAGTTTAAATATTACATGAACAAATGAAGGCAGTTTGTAGAAAACAAACTGCTGAATAAGTAATCCTTAATTTTAAGTCTGTTGACAATATGCTTGTCTGTCGTAATGGCCCACGAGATCCATTTTAGCTGGAATAATACCATGCCAATCGGATCAGTAGAACAGTAAAACTAAAAGCACCAAATTCATAATCAAATTACGAAGACGTACGGCTGACTGCACTGAGGTATGACGTTAGTAAGGTGTTTTCCTTAGACAACTAGCATCTGAAGCGATGACACCTGCACACAACGGAAGGAAGAGGTTAGAAAAGGCCGACCTTAAAAATGCAGCACCGTATCGTAACGCATGTATGTCTATCTCCATCAGTAAGGCATTTTGACGTACGAAGTTTAAATAACACAAAATCCACAGAAAGGATGCATGTGACAGCCCTCAGGTAGTTCTCTCTTTTACTTCGTAGTCATACTCTCAGGTCGGTACAATCTACTAATCCAGTTTCTTTCCCCAAGTCTTTTAAGAAGAAATATCCTTCTATATTGTGGGCAATCAAGAAGTGATAACTGCCCTCGTACGTCTAACAGTACTAAATATCTTTCCGACAACATCTTTGACGAAATAAATAATGAACTTCTGCATTAATCCTACTTGCACGTCCCTCCATATGAATCTGTATTAGTTCCTATTTCCTTCTTTTTGTGCAATTATATAAGAGGTCTATACACATGTAACCATAATGGTTTGCTTGTAAACGGGCACACCAAATTGAAATTAGTATACAATGTTTTGAAGATCATAATGTAAAAAAATACAACTATGTATTGGGTATTAACTTCTAGGAGAGCTGTCTCATCTATAATTTCGATTACAATCCAGACAAGAAATTCCAATAAAAACTATGATCTCACAAATAACATAGACATATAAATAATGCCTAATACAAGTTAAATATTACGAGATGATTATTATCTTATGGAATCATTAGATATTCAGTCTCAGAAATTGACTATTGAGATCAAATTCCATGTACCTATATCAATTGCTTTTTAGGAGGGGTATTGGTCTTGTGACTGCCGAATAATCTCGGCTCTCATCATAAGGTGTCGTAATTATTTCTTCAACTCGGACGACAGAGTTTAAGTTGTTCGACTTCTTTATTCTGGTTAGTACTTCTTAGCAAGGTTGTTTTCTATAGGATGGGAATTTTGACCATATACCCATCCCTCCTCCTTTGTGTGGGCTTAGGACCGGCAGTAACCCTAGGAGAGCTGCAGGCGGAGTTAGATCAAATTCAGTATGATATTATCGGTATAGAGGGATATTTTGGAGATCATAGAATTTTTGCAGTTTAAATCACGAACTTATTTTTGCTGAACCACTATTGAAAACCTTGAATCATTAGATGGCTGTTTCGTGTTAGTATAAGACGCCTTAGCACTGCACATTCATAACCCCTCATCCGGGATTCGATCCCAGAATTTAGGCACGATCAATTCGTGACCTAACCAGTATGATACCTAAGAAATACTAAGAACTTAATTATCGACACTAGATATGTAATTAATTTCTACAGAGTTAACTAGTGAATGTAGACGTTAGATTTCAGTACTGAAAAATGTATTTTCGCTGTTTTGAAGATTTCAGTGTTTGGATTTTATTTTAATTCCCAAACTGATATCCTTACACTTCCAGTTGAAACAAATATCAATATTTACAGATGGAACTGAACAGACCTGTGAGATGATAGCGGGTTACAGGAACACTTGAAACATTATTGATTGATTTAATTATATTCAACATGGATGGAGCAAATGTTTTACAATTCTCGTCTTTGATTAACTTATATCTGCGAACATGTGTTTTCATATACGAACTTCTGCGGTTCAAACTTCACATTTCAATTAATAAACGTAAACTTAGGGTTATTTTTACGTGTCGTAATGAGCTGAATGATTCCTGATCATAATATACTACTCATCCACGACATTATCTTAATTTTAGAAAGACATTTTGCTATATGTGATGCGTCCAATGTATCTACGTTCATAGAATTCTTTATTTAAAATATTTGCCCAACTCTAATTGAATAAATGTAATATTAAGAAAATAAATGTAACCCATCTATTGCACTATTAATTCCCATTGTAACACTGACAATAAGTGTAATGTAGCGGTAAATCATGTACTATGGTAAACTTTGTTAACAGATGATATTGACTGTATCTGCATTTATCAACTAAACAAGTTGATATTCAGCGATCAAACAGTAACAACGTCAATTCGGTTATTCACTTTACACGTTGTGATATATTTACATTATACCCTAATTACCACAAAATTAATTTTCTCTTCACTGACTTCTATCACTGAACAGATAAAAATGTTCTCTCTAAATCAATATTATATTCTTTCTTTTAAACAACTAATCAATTGTGTATACAAAGTATCGGAATACACTCTCATCAAAGCTTCACATCAATATTATTAGCTTTTATTGAAAATGATCCACTATACACGTAATATTGAATTCCTACAATATGAGCTCACTTAGTATGAAATTCTACAACTAGATTATAAATATTAATTTATTCATCTAATAACTAAAAGTTAATTGATTTTTTCCTCCCTTTCAATGTGGAAAGTAAATGTTTATTAAGTTTATAGCTGAATTCATGAGTCACTTGAAGCTAGACCACCATAGGAAACCTGGAAGCACTGGACTGCCATTTCGTCTTAGTATGGGATTCTTCAACAGTGCGCATCTACAATCCCACCCCACAAGATTTGAACCTAGGACCTATCGGTTTCGCACACGAACGCTTAATGTCTAGACCACTCGCGGGGCTTAGGAGAACGAAATGGTCATCCAGTACTTCCAGGTTTTCCATGATGGTCTAGTTTCAAGTGACTCATGATCTCAACTATTAAAATTACTATAATATCCACAAGAACTTCTGAAACTCACTTTTTTTAAAAAAATATTCCTATTTGTCAATCGTTTCTGTTTTAAATAGAAGGTATATTCAACTAACACAAGATGATTCATCATTTTCATTAAAAAGTAAAATAAGATTCAATTAATTCATGACTAATGATAAAATATTGTTTATAATACTTAAATCTTCATATACGTATTATTTACAGAACTTCACAATTTTCTCATTATAATTTGTGTTTTGTTGTTAACTTCACAATAAACATGAATAAACAAGATTAATTTATTTAGAAAATCATATTAACAATGTAGATCATTGTTACTATGATTTTCAAATAAGATCAAAATAGATAATGATCGGAATATATACACATATATACAAAACAAAGACACAGATCAAATCAATCATAGCCTAATGAATATCTTATTTCATGTTGAATTGAGCGTCAAAAATGTACAATTAGGTTTATGATCAAAATACCATCACGTATCATGTGATACATGATCGAGCTAGATAAAGCCTAGATGTAGATAGAATCACATGATTGACCTAAACTAGTCGAATAGACTATTAATACATATAATGTGAATATATATATATATATAACTTCTCAGAATAATTCATTCGTGAATATGTATTATGTGTATGATTGGTCTAAGATAAAATAATTGCATCCATATAGATATATATTGCATAAT